AAATAATTGAATCAGTCAGATTTTCGGGCGAAAATGCTCAAACCCGTAGCAGTCATTATGCAGAAAAATTATGTTTTGGAAAAACTTCGAAAATTCATAACTCTTGAATCGTATGTCAGTTTTTACCCCCGTTCAAAGCGTTGAAAAGCTAACGAGATGCTCTTTATAGGAAAAATTGTTTTGAGGCCTGTACCTGGTTCAATTATAGCAGAAAATTGAAAACGTATCGTGTGCTGATTTTTGTCGAACCCGACAGGACCATTTGTTGTGTTTTGTGGTGCCTTGTTGATATGATTGGGAGATATGCTAAGTGAAACTTCAACGAGTTTTGGTTATGCTTTAAGGGGAACTTGAAGTACATAAGAGGAATCGTCTGATAAGTGATTTAGAGTTGGTTGCTGTTGTGGTTGTGCCGGAGTTAGAAGCCTCAATTAGTTAGTTTGAGATTTGATATGTGTGGTGACCTCAAGAGCTTAAGGCATTGATTTGATTTGGAAGAGTTGAATATGAGGCAGAGAAAATAATTGGGACTCCGGACTGGATTATGGTTTCGGATTGAATTACCATTCAGGGAAATCAAAACGTGGTAGCTTATGCATTGACTTGGAAATCCTTGCATATGCCGATGTTGGTGGTGAAAAGAGTTAGGACTGATTGAGCAATTTTGTGGTATGAGTTGGTTTGTGAAGAGACTTCTTATGGAGTTAAGCTTAGTATGTTGGACCTTACTAGTGGTATTCTTGACGAGATTCAATAAGGTCAAAACTCTGGTTTGAGTTGGTAGATTGGTTGAATCTGAGGAATTAAAGTCGAAGGAATGATTTTCAGATTAATGGAAATGGTATCATGAGATATCGTGATAGAGCTTGTGTTCTAGATATTATTGAATGGAATAAGAGTATTGAGGTAGATGGAGTATCCATCCCGGTGCTATGAAGATGTAACCGGATTTGAGGAAAATTATTTTGAGGGCCACAGTTGAAGAGATAAGTGGTTGAGTTTGTATATGCTAGTTAGACTTGTCGGAAGTCGAAGAATAGACGTTAGAGACCGTTGGGTCTGATGGGAATCTGAGTTTTCATCGAGATTTTGGAAGAGTTTGCAGACGCTTGAGTACCATGTTGAAGTTGAACTCTTCCTATCATCCATGGACGGATGGACGGACAGAGAGAACTATCCAGTCTTTAGAGGATTTATGGAGAGCTTGTGTGTTGGATCAATTTGGATCGTGGGATAGTTAATTATCGTTGATTGAGTTACCTACAATAACAGTTACCATTCTAGTATCAGAACAGCGATGTATGAGGCTTTTGTGATAGGAGGTGTAGGACTCCCTTGTGTTGGAATGAGTCGAGCAAGAGTGTTGTACTCGGATTTGAGAATTAGAAAGCAGGATGCGGGAAGCGTATCCGGAATTGTTTCCATCAGGTGATTTTCGAGGACGAAAATACTTAAAGTGGGGGAGAGTTGTAACACCCCTTTTTAACTATTTAGTCTCATTGACGTTATTTTTTTTTATGTTGGTGTGTCCTTACGGAGGTGTGTCTGAGTGGCGTTGGTGGATGCCCTTAGACTGTAAGAATTATTAATAACGATTGGAGTTTAATATTAATATAATATAATTAATAATTGGTGATAATTTAATAATTAATAGTAATATTATTATTATTATTATTATTATTATTATTATTACTACTACTATTATTATTATTATTACTACTATTATTATTGTTATTATTATTATTATTATTATTATTATTATTATTATTATTATTATTATTATTATTATTATTATTATTATTATTATTATTATTATTATTATTATTATTATTGGAGTAAATATAAAGGAGGGATTTTTGGGAGAAAGAGAAAACACGTTAAAACTGCTCAGAACCAAAATCAAAGGAAAAAGAGATCGTGACCGAGAGAAGTTGAGAAGAGAAGAAGTAACCATATGAGAGAATTCACGGTAGTTGCAGAAGAGTCGCCGGAGAGCTAACGGAAACCGGAAGCGTAGAGTTGACCTCAATTCCAAAGGTAAGGGTGGGGTTCAATTCTATAACTGTGGGTATGATCGATTTCATGTAGGGAATTGAATCATAGGGTTAATGTTCCCATAGTGATGTTCCCGTAGTAACGTTCCCGTAGTGATGTTCCCGTAGTAACGTTCCCGTAGTAACGTTACTGTAGTAAATGTTCCCGTGGGTTGAGAAATATTAAGGGTTAATGTTTGTCTACGCCGAATTAGTGTTATGTCATTAGTTCTATGTAGTAATGTTGAGAATTGGCGCCGACACGCACTGATTATGCTCTTACTTGATCGACTTCAGGTAGAGAATTGAATCATAGGGTTAGTTCCCGTAGGTTGGAGAAATATTAAGGGTTAATGTTTACCTGTGCCTGAGAAATACTAAGGGTTAATGCCTGTATGTGTATGAATGAGTGTGTTATGTCATTAGTTTTGGGGGAAATTGGGAAACGGTGCCGACACGCGCTATTTTCCATTTATTAAGAAGGTGTTGTTATTATGTCCCTATTTCATTAAATTAGAAGTTGTAGTTATATTACTCGTATGAAAGTATATGAAAATGTGTTGGGTTCTTATTTGTAGTAATGATGGTGTTAGTTGTTCTCTAACATGAAAATGATGTTGAGTTCTCAATTGTAGAGACGATGTTGTTTTTAATTGTTTTCTGCGAAAATGTATTGGATTCTTATTCGTAGGAACGATATTGTTACTTGTTCTCTGATATGAACAGGTTGAAATGGTGAGTCCATAATATATACGAAATGTGATGTTCTGTTATGGATAAATGAGTTGTAGGCTTGATGCCTTGTTGCACGGTTGTTGCACAGTTGTTGTTGTGGTGTTATAGTCCATAATGGTTGCATTTCATAGCATATCATTTGGCCTGGATTGGCGACGGTTGTGTCTTTAATGACAAAATAAAATGATTGTGGAGTGAGTCTCCCGAATAATTGTGGAGTGAGTCTCCCGAATTATTGTGGAGTGTTGTCTCCCGAATTATTGTGGAGTGTTGCCTCCCGGATAATTGTGGAGTGAGTCTCCCGAATAATTGTGGAATGAGTCTCCCGAAGTATTGTGGAGTGTTGTCTCCCGAATTATTGTAGAGTGTTGTCTCCCGAATTATTGTGGAGTGAGTCTCCCGAGTTATTGTGGAGTGTTGTCTCCCGAATGGTTGTGGAGTGTTGTCCCAAATCTGGTACCACATGCATATGAACAGTTGAGTCGTATTGTTGAGTTACGTTGTTGAGTTGTTTTGATGAGTGGCTGAGTTATGATGATAATTGTTGTGGATAGGAATAATGAATTGTTGCAGTTTAATTATTACTAATATTTATGTGAACTGCTGGAATTATAATGTTGTGATAATATTCTGACATGACTTTTATCATGCCTTATGTTATATTGTTGATATCTCACCCCTTTACGTTGTATGTTACCTCCGTTGGTGGTAATTTGCAGGTAACTCAGAAGAAAGTGTCGCTTTATGTTTAAGGTCGTTGGTCGCCCTGATACGTAGCACTCTGGGGGATGAACGATTAATGTTATTGTTTTAATTGAATTTCTCGTTGCTGAATTTTATTAAGTACTATGGCAAATAGATTGGTTGTTTCTGATAATGTCTAATGTTGCTTGGGTGCATATTTGTTTTAGTGAATTGATGCAAGATAATTACTTGCTGAATTTTATTGGAATTTAATTATTACGAATCGTTGGAAGTGTATTATAACATGTCGTTTTATGATTAAAATGTTAAACAAATTATCGTTGTTTGTTGATCCGAATTTTGTGTTACGTATGTTAGTAAATGATCTTTTGCAGGTGTATGTGTTTGGTTAAGTGTAGAATGTGACACCCTGATGCATCTGAGAATTTGGGAGTGTGACGGTCGTCACAGCTCCTTGACGCTCGTCATGACCGTGACGGTCGTCATGAAACTTTATTTGCTGCACTCTGAAACTATTTTCTATTGTTTCTCTTATTTTTTTCGCAAGAGTTTAGAGTGGAGTGTTACATGGGTCACACATTTGACAATCTAAAAATGATTTCAAAAATGTTTAGATTTTTTTTTTCAGAGATGTATCTTTAAACACACCAAAGACCTTTAAACGCACCAAAGACCATTAAAATTTAGTTTGAAGATGCAATTACCAAAAAATTTAAAAGACTTTTAAAATTTTGAGATTTTTAAAAATTTTGAGATATTTGAAAATTTTGCCATTAACTATCTGTCAAATAACAATTGGCAAAAATCAATTATAGATCTTTTGAAAAATCCAACAAAAATGATGAATCAAAAGATCAAATACAAAACGTTGAATTACATTATTACTGGTAACAAGTTGTTTAAAAAGACTCCTGAAAGAGTTTTACTTTAAATGCTTTGGTGCACAACATATTTGGCAATTTTCGGTTATGTGACGCAAGTCCCAAGAATGAAGTGGATTTTATTTCGACAAAGACTATATTGACCAATACCAATGCATGTATCTGCTAATGAATTGCATTCAATTGTCAAGAACAAAATTGACTTTTCAGTGTCTTCACCCTCAGGGATGGATAAAGTAATCCCCTACTTTTATCAGAGCATTGTCTGAACCTTAGGTCTGTTATGACCTTTACAAATTCTTCAAATCACCTAAACTTTAATTTATTTTATAGGAAAAAGTGGTCTGTAATACCAACGGATACCGGTGGAAAACACATCCAAAACATTGGCAAATTGTTCAAAAGTGAATCCAGACACAGTACAAATGCCTCAGTCAAGGAACTTGTAAAATATAGCCTACAAGGTTTATATGGCTGTCATGCAACGCGTGCTACTTTTCAAGAACTATGCTGCACAGAAAAAAGAACTGAAAAAATCTGATATGTAATTCTATCACTCTTCCTCCTTTCCTTGTCGAGTATTGTATGGTCCTTTTTTACTGAAGAAAACTACTAGCAAAAAAATCCTGAGAAAAAAAACAAACTATCACATGTTTTGATTGTGAAGCAATTCAACGGCAGCAGCAACCACTGCTTTTCCTTCACCAGAAATGTCAAACCCTGGTTCTTCAATTTTTCTGTTTAAAAGCTTGTCGAGCTGCTCGCGTAATTTCTGCAAATCCAGTTACCATGAGATTCTTTCGTATTAAGCATAAGCTCAGAAACAATTTATAATGGTTGGAAAAAGATCGAAGGAAATTTACCTTTATCAACTCAATGACACTCTTGGAAGCAGAAAAATGAAGGTAACCTCCAAGCATCTCAATGCCCTCACCGTTTTTGCTAGGGTCGAGATTACCACCAAACAGAAGTAGTGCATAATCTGAAATGTTGGTAGAGTCTCTAATATAGATGCTGGTTGTTTTAACTTTTTCACTATATACCAAGTAAGGTAGAGGGAAGAGATGAATCCCAGCATTTACTGAAGATGGATGGATGTCAACTTTCCCAACTTCTTTAGTGTAGAACGCTGTCCGTTTTCCTCTTCTTTTGCACTGAACAACATTAGGGTAGAGACCAGCACAAAGAATTGCACAAACCATCTCCAAATCATGACTGTACTGGTTGTAAGCCTGCAGAGATATACATCAAGATTGATAAACATCTGTGCCCTTGTTCAAAATTTTGCCATAAACTTTAGTTGTTTATGTTCAGAGGTAAACAGAAACATGTGATGAGAGCTCAGTGGTAAGAGTTTAAGACTATAACCACCGGAGACGAAGTTCAAATCTCCTCAGATATTTGTAAGAGAGATTTGTAAAACAGTCATTAGTGTCACTTAAATAATAATGTCCCCCTTCCACAATTCTCTTTAGCAAAAAGTAAAAAGAAGATGAGAGAAGTGCCAGACTAATATATCAGTCAATAGAAAAAATTTTAAGCAAAGTTCATTCAAGAGTAAGAAACTAAGTTAGAAGAGGATATGGGGAAAATGCTTCAACTAAAAATAGAAAGGACAAGGAGAAGGGCTTACATGGACACCCCTCGACTTGTCAACAAATCCAATGTCAGATAATAAGTTGAGAAATTGTGTTCTCATATCATCAATCAACCGCAAGGTCGATGGGGATAGGAAATTTTCCCAACAAAATTCCTTTTCAGCCCCCCTACTTTTTGCCTCCTTCCATCCTTCAAAAGCTTTAAGAAGGGCTATATGATCACTGAATAAAAAATATACTTATAATTAAGCAAGCACAAGTGTGGATAATGGATAGTAAGATTTGACCTAGCATTGAGAAGAGAAATTTCTCAAACAATATCAATGACTAACTAACCTGCAAGAGTCACCAGAAAAATATTTTTTTGCTGCATCAGCTTCCTCTTTTCTGTTTATAGGTAGGACAAATGGATTACGGTAAGCAAGAGCAGCGGCAATAGTTAGGGCAGGACTGAGGCACTGAAAGATAGAGCCCATGAGAAGCATCTTCCCTATATTTGGGTCCAAAGGTACAGTACAAAGATGCCGACCTGTAAAGATCAAATTATCTCAGATAACATCCACGGCTTAAGACTAAATAAAAAGCTTGAGACAAGCATGTCCAGCACAATATACCCAGTGGAGTAAGCTCCTCCTTGTCATCCAATGCCCCAATTGTCTTCAGAAGTTCTATAGCATTTTGAACAGCAAGAGAATCTGGCGGCTGAAGTGCCTTTCCTAAAAATGATGCCACAGTTCCCAGCTGCAAGCTTTTAATCTGCAGGCACAATTCTTGCAAAGGCGTTCGGAGGATTTCAGGTAACTGATACTCTGGCATAGCATCGTGGATCAGTTTTGGATACAATCTATAACAAACTCCAGGTTGTACTCGACCAGCACGTCCACGTCTCTGAAATAGTCTGCCCATTAGTAACAGTAAAACATAGTATGTTCATACTTTGTTCTTGAATTTCATAAATAGATTTGGAGTGGGGGTTAGAGGGGGAGTAGAGTCTCACAGACAAAATTTAATCATTCAGCATGCACAAGAATAAGATATATTGAAAGTTTTTCCTGACGATTCACATGTTCAATGGGAGCAATAAACCTTATGTTGTTAAAAAGTTTTGTTCCACAACTTCAATACCTGACGTGCCGAAGCTTTTGAAATCCATGATGGCAACAAGCAAGCAAGCTTATTTAGAGCATCATAGCTTGTTTCCTTTGCTTTACCGCAGTCTATGACATATACAACATCATCTATGGTGATGCTGCTCTCAGCAATATTTGTTGCTAGCACAATTTTTCTGCAGTGACAAAATAACAACGATAAAAAACGTAGACGCTAAACTGATACCAGACTCAAATATATATACAAGCATAACCCCACATTTCTTTACTTTAACATATAATGATTATTGAATATAAAGTCGATTGCAATAACCCCACATGCCTACACTTTAACATATAAGGGCACTTTAGTAAAATATCATTATCTCTCCTTCATTTATTCTTTTTTCTTAATCTGCGTGAAAAAGTCAATTGGGTCACTCATTGTAGGACAGAGGGAGTAGGATCTTTTTTCTTATATGTAGCCTTTTAAAAATACAGATCTGGATTGGAAGAAATATTCCATAGTTAATTAACAATTCAGAGAAATCTGTTTTAGTTTAGGAGGGGATCTCCCAAGGACAAGTCAGTTTCTTCTTTTCACTGAAGGTCGAACGACGGAGCCCTCTATGTGTAGGCCTATGATTTGGTCCTACACCGAGGGTGCAACCTATTGGTATTGGCAGCCAACATTGATGACACATCATACGGTCAGGCAACATGCACCGAGAGAACAGATGTTCAGCCTTTCCATGGTGATTTGAGAAGCAAATGAGGGACCAACAGTAAAGAATTTGAAAGAGACAAGCAGTAGTAACCGCGGAAATAAATGAGGTTCGGGAGACAGAAGTGAATCGCAGTCAGGGGGATCCATTGTTCAACAAAACTCCAAATGGAATTTCCCACTTAAGATGGCACTGAAGATTCCTTAGGGTGATTGAAACACCGCCATGAATTTTTTACAAATCAATGAATTGTAGAAAATAAGATGAGTTAGCTGCATTTAATCTCTGAGGGACACAATTGTGGTTCAATCAGATGGAGCAAGAGGAATCAGAACTAGATTTGTAGTGCTTCAAGGAATCCTAACATGTAAGATTTTGATCACCTATGAGCAATAACCCATTGAGTGAACTCCTTTTGATATTGTAGAAGCCTTCTGAGGTGTGAGTACTTTTCATCTTCGGACTAAAAGGAAGGACCCTTTGTGAAGGGGAAACCATTAGGGAGATTTCTATTCTCTATTTTCTCAGTTTTCAATAATAAATGCTTTTCTTCCATTTCAATTGTCTACTTCATAACACTTCCAAAGAAGGATTTCTGGAACAAGCTTCCTGAAGCAGTTAATATATTCAGAACTTCATAAACTAGCAATTAAATTCTGAAAACCAACAATCAATGCTTAAAAATATTAAGCATCAAATAAATATAAATAAACTAGCTGAAAATATTGCAGCCTTCTTTCAAACTATTATATATAACAATGACAGGTGAAACTGAAACCATAGAATTCTTGCCAACTAAGTTTCTAATAAATAAAAATAAATAATACACCCTCCATTATTTTTTATAAGCAAATTTAACTTTTTAGATTCATTGAATAATTAATGTATCTAGTCTATATATTGTCTAAATTAATCATTTATTTAATGAATCTTAAAAGTCAAAATTTGCTTATTAAAAAAAATGGAGGGAGTATGCGTTAGAAGCTAACTAGCTAAGCTACTTTGGAACTTGCAAGTGCTAGCACTTAGCAGTAGTTCACTGCTTTGATTTCTACAGAGAAATTCCAGAAAATATAGTCAATTGATTCGATTCACCAGTTTCCATTCACACATTCCCCATGTTTGTTTAAGTTCTGGCTCCATCAGTCTCATATTTAATATATGCCAATGCAATATTTACATAAATTCCTCACAATTGCCCCCAAGCATATTATCACAATAAAAATATGTCTATGGAGAAAATTAGCAAAAGAAACATGCTTGCCTTTTGTTAGGGGGAGGACGGTCAAATATTTCACATTGGTCAATGGTAGGCATTGAACCATGTATTGGAAGGATTAAGAACTTGCTACGGTTTCCAAGTAAGTTATTTCCTTCAAGTTTGTCGAGTAGCTTAGAGATTTCATCCCAGCCAGTAAGAAATACAAGAATAGCTCCACCACCTTCACTCCGACATATATATTCAATTGTTGCTTCTACCTGAAACATCATAGTAATCAAAATTAAATAAACGTCCTTAAAACTGATTCAACAAACTTAGAAAACTTCATTAAAAGCTTAGCGCCACATGAGTAAGGAAGTACTGTAGGAGCTATGAAGCTCCGACACGCCATTCACACAGTGTGTCTCCGTATCGGACGTGTCCGACACCGATACGCGTACGACACGTATCTGACATATTTTTGAAGTGTTCAACGGAAAAAATAAAAATTAAATCGCAACGGACATGGATACGAGACCTTATTTCAAATAAAGGACACTGTCCAACTCAAAAAAATTTCAGAATTAAAAAAAAAAAAATCCAACTCAATAATTTTCAGAATTTAAAAAAAGAAAGTTGTGCTTAAAGCTACTCGCACAATCTTGGTCGTCATCATATTGTGAAAGAAATTGCAGCACATATTCATTTATCCATTCTTTGAAGAAAAATAAGATGGCACCACATCGAGCGAAAACTTCAGTATATGTGCACAGTAACCTTCGACTTCTATCAAGGAGCACTCCCCAATATCATCAAGAGAAAACTTAAATGTGAAATGTCGCTTGAGATGAGTTTGGATCATTAGATGACAACGGATTTTTTTAAGTTGCTGCCTTGTCTTTAGATGAGTCAGGCTTAAAAGCTATTTTTCTCAATGTGGAGTGACGTATCATTTTGTTTTGATGAATTTATGTCCTTTTTTTTTGTTGATTGAAAGTAATAAGTTTAACTAAACATTTGTGTAAAATAAAATTTAAATTAACTTAAATTTTGCTTCTCATTTTAAACTCTTTATAAATTGTGCTCAAAATTGGATTACTATATTAATATATAAAATATATATAGCCGTGTCCGTGTCCTATGTTTTTTACATTAGCGGGGTCCTCGTGTCCGTGTCGTATCCCGTGTCCGAGTCCGGGCTTCATAGTGTAGTAGTGATTACACTTGGCACACAATAGCTTAGGATACACTATCCGTAGGACTTAACATCTCTTGTAACTAACTACTGTACAGTATCTTAACATACTCTGCATATATAGGATAGAATATATTTTATTAACAACCTTATAACTAATTAAGTAACTGAAGTTAGTAAAGATAAGCCTGTTGGTGAATCTATAAATAACTCACCCTTCATTGTAAACATTTCAAGAATCATAAATACAAAACTCAGATTCTAACAAACACGGGTTCTCTCTACAATAGCTTGGATTCTCACTGGCATTGATTCAATCTTCTAATGGGAAGATAGAAACAAATGAAACAAATGGCAACTAAAAACATAGAATGCACAATTCATTGACTAAGAGGAAAGTCGAATGGCAAACTCTTAGAATGCTAATCCAGATTCATTAGCATATTTAGCACAACTTAGAATATTAAACTACTGTAGTTTGATTAGAGGATGTGAATATCTTTCCTACTCTTATCTAACTATCATTCTCTATATATTTTTATTCTATCATGGCCACCAAACAAGCCTATAACTTCAACAGTGGCAATTAATTACACCTATATAATCACCTCTAATCAGTGCATGGTTTAGCTCATATACTCAAAGCATTCATTGTATAAATAAGATGATTTATTTGTAAAAAACACACTCTTTGCAAATATTCAGTTTCAGTAGACTTCTGCACTGTACTAGCTGCAGACAAAACTGTCAAACTTTGGCCGGATAATTATCCACTGAGCTAAGATACTTGCCCAATAACCGATACATCTAATTCAAAAAAATATGATGCACAAAAGACTTACCAGACCCAAATCAATTTGTGAACCTGACCAAGCTTCAAGGGATTTTCTAACACCCAAGCTGTAATTTTTGTAATGCGTATCTACATCAAGGTCCTGCAAGAACAAGGAGAAGTGCAAGCATTATTCATATATTCATATGTATATGGCAATGATGGCAAAGGATGAGCTCATTAATAACATTAGTAGGAAGCAGCACGAAAACAGAAACTCTCAAGATATGCAAGGCAGATCACAAATTGCAAAAAAGGACTAGTAAGTTTTTTAGCTTCAAAGGCTAGACTATTAAATCTAAACAAATTTCCATAATGTTTTGGCTTCTCTTTTACGATTAAATATGTCATTAAAAGAAATATTATTAGAAAAAAGATTGATTGCAGTGAAAGAGGAGCACATTATTCGAAGGCCTTTCACTGAATAAACCTCCAACCCACCACACCACATCGAAAGCATTGTCAAACAAGTACAACAAATCACATGCCAAAAGTCAAGCATGTGACCCAACTAACATCCAACAGCTAAATTATTATTTTTCAAGAATCACGAAGTGCCTGTCGTTGAAATTTCATAACTCCCACCAAAGTCACATGTCTACTATCAAAATATAACCCCTCGATAATGTTAACAGAAAGAGCATATGTCATGGATAACTGCTAACTGCCCTTCAATAACAATGAAAAAAACTTGAAAAGAACAAAACTTTTGGTCCCAAAATTAGCACCATATTGAATGTGCAACTATCATGAACTGAATTCAACAACCAAGTTTTATCCCACTAAGTGGGAACTGTCATGAACTGAATACAAAACGTTGAAAAAAAATTGTGTGACATTAACCAGACTAAGGTTGCAATGCGATGGAATACAGCAGTCAATAAGTTCTAATTCCATGCAATAGGTATAGTGAAAATATGAGTCCATAGTTCAAAGTATCTTATAAATCACAGACTGTAAATACATGGATTGATATATAAACTTATAAAGTATGCATACCTCAAACATTTCAGTCAGGGGATCCTTCTTAGAATCTTGTTGTTTCCTTTTTCTCCTTGTATTCCCCTCAAAACTGTCCAACTCCAACTTGATGCTATATCTAGTTTTCTCCAACATATCTTCTAGGAAGTGCTCGGCTACAGGGAAAGTAAACCCCTGACACATGTCCGAATAAAATAAAATGAAATGAAGGAACATTATTTGCATTTAAATTTAAATAAATAAATAAATATAACTCAATAATATGAAATTTAAAAAGAACGCAATACCGGTATGTGCATTGTTGGGGCATTTGCAAAGTATTTAGAGAACAGATCGGCATTGATTGTAGCACTCATTAGAATGAGGCGCAGATCTGGACGACGGGGAAGAAGGTCACGCAAAATTATAATTAAGAAGTCTTCATTCATGCCTCTTTCATGAATTTCATCCACCAGCAAATGACTAACACCAGTCAACTCGGGATCTTGGACCTATTCAAAAACAAAGATAGAAAAGAAAAGTGAACACCACTGGTTGTGGGGAAGCACATATGAGTATCCCATATAAAGCTAGGATGTTCTTAACATCATATTTTTCCTCTTTCATATTTAAAATAGAAATTTAGTAACACTAACTTTTTAAATGCTAAGCTACTTCATCCTATCCTTTTCACTGTTATGAATTTAATATTCTATTCTATATTTATGCAAGCACCGCTGCCATAATCAGCAGGGAAGAAAGTGTTACCCACCAACTATCTGAAGCTATTAAGTGAAGGCTCTTAATTTATTTTATATCCAACACGACCAGACACAAGATCCTTATGGGACCAATGCATTTGACAGTGCAAGTGCCGACTCCAACTTATACTGAAATTCAACTTTCAATAGTGATCAATGGCTATGGCACGAAATTATTTCATGACTAGTTGGTTGATTATACAGGCTTCAATACCATGTTGATCACCAACTCTCCCAACAGCTTAAGTTGTGAGAGGAGACTCCAGCTCCTGTGTAAACTTTTATGAATGCATGAGTTGAAGTCTTAAAAACAGGATATTCAGTTTTAGGGAAATTAATAATACCAGTTGCCGAAGTAATACACCAGTGGTGCAGAAAAGAAGGCGTGTATCCGCAGAACGTTTTGCTTCAAGACGGATGTGGTACCCAACAGTTTTGCCAAGAGTTTCCCCTCTTTCAGCTGATATACGAGCTGCAACAGAAATTGCAGATACACGACGAGGCTGAGTACAAATTATATTGCAGTCAGCTCCACGCAAACGTGATATTTCTTCTTCCAAAATGAATTGTGGTAGCTGTGTTGTTTTGCCACAGCCTGTCTCTCCTGAAACTACCAATACCTGCACAAACACCAGCCAAATTTTACTCTATTCTAGATTAGAAACTACAACTAGAACCATAGACTGAACATGAGCAAAGCATCAAAATGAGTTCAAAACGTTTGTGCATCATATTATAATTGTCAATTTATCCACTTAAATATCAAGTAACAAGGTCTGCTCTCTTTTTAATTGCCATGGAGATCTAAGGATATAGTTTCTTAAAAGCATCCTGAATCAGACAAAAAAATTATGGTAAATAAGTCATTTTTTCATGAATGATAATAAATAGCTCCCGGCACCTGATTTTCTTGAACAGCTTTCAGAAACTCAGACTTCATTTTAAATGCAGGAAGCTTCTCCCTAAATGATTTCATTTCCTTCAAACTATCACTTGTCTGCATGTTTCCAACCCCAGCATAAGTTCAAAATACAGCATAAAGAGTCAAATAGATATCACAGTAGATGCAAACAAAATATAATGGCCAAAAATCCTGCTAAATGCTTTTAATACCTGCTCCAGTTCCTGTCTTTCTTTGAGTGCAACACTGAGTTTGTCCTTTGAAGTATCAGTCTGTTGTGAAGCAGATTTTGTAGTCGTTGTTGATATTTTATGTTCCATCTCAGTTGATACAGAAGCCAGACTAGTAGCTGATGCCCCAGTTGACTGTGACATATTTAAAAGATTTCCTACTCTCCTCTCTATGTCTGTGGACATTTTAATCTGAAGAAAACCGAACTTAGTATTTTAGCTAACTTTCAATAAGAAATTGGTAATCATATATTGAAATAAAATAAGTAGTGCTCCACCTCCTTCTGTGTTGATCCATGACGCTCATCAAGGTCTGCACGGTAATCAGGCAAAGGAACTTTGCTAACAACAAGAATCTTTCCCTTATTATATGCATGGCTTTCTTTGCGCAAGTAAAAATCAGGCAATAAAGAATTTAAAATGTCAGGAAAAAATAAAATTATATATATCAGGTTAAGTTTTAGATGTTCACAAGTAGAATCAATAAATGCTGTGTATTGCATCCACTGACAAATGATTTTTATCATCACAAATTCTATTGCTGTCAACTCAGAAAGTTATGATGCAAAATACAGTTGCATGACCCTTCTAGGCACTAACTATTAGAATTAGAGTTTGGCCAGCACCAAACTTTCTACGTAATCATTAGGATAATAGAACCAGTCTGTAGTACCGACACCAAACTTGATTTTATAGTCAAGAAATCTAATTCTCTGGACTACGGATTATTTTATCTCTCAAATTATATATCACGGCTGATTGGCCAAAATTATTTGCAAAGATCACAGTATAACCATTGTTATAAAGGCACACCAAATGAAAATCATTTGATAAGAACACAAGAATGGAACAGAAATGAAAAGGATGAAAATAAAAATTTATATAGATAATTTTGGAATATTACAACTCAGGTTTTCGAGAGTCTGTCTCTCCTAATTCAAATTCTTCCTAATTTTCCAGAATGCTTTCCTAATTTTGGTTTGCTTCTATTTATACTGTATTTAACATTTGTTCCTAATTGGTACAATTAATCTGAAGGGTTGTGACTGTTAGATTTGATGTTGTTTGGTTCCAAGGGCTGCATCCTTTTGGATGGGTGTGTCTATTCACCAAGGGTCACGCCCCCTGATTCGCATCTCTTGATCCTGCACTCCTTGGACATCGCTGCCTGCGGGTGTAAAACTTGGTGATGGGTGGCCTAGGCTTATCAATACTCCCGCCTAAAAGACTCACCTTGTCCTCATGGTGATAATCTGGGAAGACCTCTTGTAATTTAGCCACAGATTCCCAACTATTTTCACTTGTAGGGAGATTTTGCCATTTAACTAAGACTTCCACGTTGCCAGGTATTAACTCACGAATATCTAAAATAGCATCCGGATAAGCCTGTAATTCTTGATCCTCAGATAGTATAGGTGGTAAAGGTTGTGATTGGAAAGAGTCACCAATGGCCTTCTTGAGGAGAGAGACATGAAAGACTGGATGAATTTTACTGTGAGATGGAAGATCCAATTTGTAAGCAACAGCACCCACTTTTTTTAACACCTGGAAAGGACCATAAAATCGAGGGGAGAGTTTTTCATTAATCCTTTTAGCCAAGGATCTTCTCTTGTAAGGTTGCATCTTCAAGAACAACCAATCACCGATTTCATATTCTATATCTCGGCGGTGTTTGTTGGCATTTGCACGCATGACATCTTGGGACTTCAACAAATTCTTTCTCAGAGCCGCCAATAATTCATCCCGAGCAATTGTAAGTTTGTTGACTTCTTCAAGGCGGGAAGGAATGGTGGATCCCTTAAGAATGTGAGGTGGATCATGTCCATACAACGCTTTGAAAGGGGACATTTTGCTTGAAGCATTATAATTGGTGTTAAACCAGAATTCTGCCCAGGGAAGACAAGAGACCCATTTCTTTGGCTTAGTACCTGTTAAGCATCGTAAATAAACTTCCAAGCATCGATTGACAACTTCCGTTTGTCCATCCGTTTGAGGGTGGTATGCCGAACTGAATTTTAGTTGTGTTCCTGCTGCTTTAAAAAGGGCTTTCCAAAAATTGCTTAAAAACAAAGGATCGCGATCTGAAACAATGGAAGACGGAAATCCATGCAATCTTACAATTTCCTGTAGAAAAACTGCAGCAACATCGGTAGCGGTGTAAGGATGCCCTAATGGTATGAAGTGGGCATATTTGGTGAGTCGGTCAACCACCACCAGAATTGTATCCTTCCCCATGGATTTGGGTAGTCCTCCAATAAAATCCATCGAAATGTTTGTCCATACTTGAGTAGGAATTGGTAATGGTTGTAACAGTCCTGCTGGTGATAAGCTGTCGCTTTTGTTTCTTTGACAGACTTCGCAAGCTGCAACGAAATTTTTGATGTCGGTTTTCATCCCTTCCCAATAAACTAGATCTACTATTCTTTTATAAGTCCTGAAGATTCCTGAGTGTCCTCCTACCAAGGATGAATGGAATTCTTTTAAAATGATGGGATTTCTGGAGGACGATTTGGACAAGACCAATTTCTCATTGTAAAATAGTTTCTGATCCCTTAACGTGTAGCCAGCATGAGACATAGAATTGATAATTAGGTCTTGCATGATTTTCTGTAACTTGACATCTTGTTTGATCTCTTCAGCCCATTCCTCGAAATCGTGAATTTGTAAGATTGTCATGGCATAATAAGAACTTCTCCTGGATAGGGCATCGGCAGCAGAGTTTTCCTTCCCTGGTTTGTACTGTATTTCAAAATCATATCCTGCTAATTTGGAAATCCATTTGTATTGTTCCTCACCGATCATCCTCTGATCTGTCAAAAATTTCAAACTGTTTTGGTCAGTTTTAATAATAAAATGGTTTCCCAACAAGTAGTGTCGCCATTTCTGGACTGCTTTTAGACTGCCATCAATTCACGTTCATACACTGATTTCTTCTGATTCCTTTCTGATAGGGTAGTACTCCAAAAGGCTAGGGGTCTTCCTTCTTGCATTAGAACAGCCCCTAGTCCGGTTCCGCAAGCATCTGTTTCAACCACAAAGGGCTGTGAAAAGTTGGGTACGGCTAATGTAGGCAATTTGGTCATGGCTTGCTTTAGTTGTTCGAAAGCAAGTTGTGCCTCCGGACTCCATTGGAAGGCATTTTTCTTCAACAGGTTGGTCAATGGCCTTGCTATTCTTCCATAATCATGAACAAACCTCCTATAATAGCCAGTAAGGCCTAGAAATCCCCTTAAGCTGGTGACATCCTTGGGTAAAGGCCATAATGTCATTGCTTCCAACTTCTTAGGATCTGCGGATACTCCTCCGGCAGATATAACATGTCCCAGATATTCCAAGTTATCTTGGCCAAATGAGCACTTCTTGCCGTTGATCTTCAATTCATTTTGTTGGAGTAACATTAATACTTTTTGCAGATGTTGCTTATGTTCTTCCATAGTCAGGCTGTATATTAGGATATCATCGAAGAATACCAAAACGTATTTTCGGAGTACTGGCCTTAATACTTCATTCATTAATGATTGAAAAGAAGAAGGTGTGTTAGTAAGTCCAAATGGAAGTACCATAAATTCATAATGACCTTCATGTGTTCGGAAAGCAGTTTTTGCAATATCCTCTTCCTTCATTCTGATTAGAATTTGGTGGTATCCGGATCTTAAATCCAGTTTTGAAAAGATGTTGGCCCCTCCTATTTCGTCCAACAACTCTTCAATCACCGGGATGGGAAATTTGTCGAGAACAGTGATTTTGTTCAAGGCCCTGTAATCTACATAAAACCGCCAACTACCGTCTTTCTTTCTGACTAGGATGACAGGACTAGAATACGGACTCGTAGATGGTCGGATGATTCCCGCTTCTAACATTTCCGCAACCAACTTTTCAATTTCTGTTTTTTGATAGTGAGGATATCTGTATGGTCTTATATTTGGTATTTGTGCTCCTTCTTTGAGGTGAATGGCATGGTCTTGACGCCGATGAGGAGGAAGTCCTTCTGGGGTTCAAAGATGGAAGGGAAATTAATTCCGACGGGATTGAATCCTTCCGATCAATCTCTGCTTGAATATGACGATAATCGATAAGGAACCCTTCGCCTTGCTGCAAAGCTTTCAACATAGAATTAAGTGAGGCGTCTTTCTTCGAAAGTTCTGGTTCTCCCTTTAAAATCACTTTTCTGCCATTAATCTTGAAGCCCAACGTTAGTTGTTCAAAGTTGGCATTAATCTCTCCCAAGCTTGCTAGCCATTCCATGCCCAAAACCACATTCACGCCTCCGAGGCCAAACAAGAAGAATTGTTGTTGTACTTGTACTTCTTGCACTTTCAAGGGAACCTTTCGGCATACTCCCTTACATTTGATTTTGTGACCATCTCCGACTTCTACAACGTATGATGGGGTGTCTTCCGCCTCTAATTGTAATTTTTCCACCAGTTCCTTTGAAATGAAGTTGTGGGTGGTGCCGCAGTCTATCAATACTATGACTTTGTTATCATTAATGCTTCCCAAACCTTCAAGGGTCGGCGAGAAGTAAATCCCACAATACTATTCATGGATAATTGGGGCGTTTCTCTAAATTCTGGTTCGGGCTCCTCTTCGGAGTTTTCAACATCATCTTCATCTGCTACTAACATTATCTGAAGTTGTTTATTTCTGCATACATGAGAAGTGCTCCATTTTTCTTCGCAACGAAAACATTCTCCTTTCTTTCTCTTCTCTTGAAGTTCTGCTTCGGTTAATCGTTGAAATCCTCTGGGTTGGTTGTTGTTTTCTGGTTTGTTCACGGATACACTGCCCGCAAAAGAATTAGAAGGGCCATTACTTTTTCCCCCACCTTTCTGACTAACACCATAAGTAACAGTCTTCGAATAGGATGGACTTCGATACGAGTTGTTGAATTTTAAAATTGAGTTAGAAGGCGCATTCGGTCCCCCTTTCCAAATTGCTCTATTTTTTTGTTCAATCATTAATGCCTTCTTGACCATGATTGAAAAAGTGGGTGGTTCGTAGAGTTTAATTTCTGCCCCAATGTCTTCCTTCAGCCCGTTCACAAAAATGTCCTTTAAATGTTCTTCATCGACATTTTTCAGCATGCCTGCAAACTTTTCGAATTGTTCAACGTACTCTTCCACCGTTTCTTCTTGTTTAAGTGCAAGGAGGGCAGCAAAAAGGTTGAGAGTGGTTGAAGTTTGGAACCTTTCAATAATGGCAAGTTTGAAATCTTCCCATCCAATATCAGAATTGCAATTCTCCCACCATCGGAACCAAGATAGCGCCTTTCCCTCTAGAGCCACCATTACTGCCTGAATTTTCTCTTCTTCTAGGATGTCTCTCATTTGAAAGAAGCGTTCCAATTTATTTATCCAGCCATAAGCATCGGATTCTCCACCGTATATGGGAATTGTCAATTTTCTCCATCGTTCTGTTTTTCTTTCTCCGGTGTGGACCTTGGTTGAATGTTCTCCATTGATGGAACCTTTGGGTGTGCCATCTTCTGACCGCTTGGATAAATTTTCCACCATGGCTTCTAGGCGTGCAAAGCGTGTTTCAAAATGTTGTCGTTCTGCATCTCAGTTTTGTCGGTCCGCCATTAACATTTCCAAAATTCTCTCCATTGTGTCTGGACTTTCGGATCGAGTTGTCACCATAGTTGGAAGCAAAGCACCTGGACGGTGCTCTAATACCAATTGATAAAAACACAAGAATGGAACAGAAATGAAAAGGATGAAAATAGAAACTTATATAGATAATTTTGGAATATTACAACTCAGGTTTTCGAGAGCCTGTCTCTCCTAATTCAAATTCTTCCTAATTTTCCAGAATGCTTTCCTAATTCTGGTTTGCTTCTATTTATATTGTATTTAACATCTGTTTCTAATTGGTACAATTAATCTGAAGGGTTGTGACTGTTAGATTTGATGTTGTTTGGTTCCAAGGGCTGCATCCTTTTGGATGGGTGTGTCTATTCACCGAGAGTCACGCCCCCTAATTCGCATCTCTTGATCCTGCACTCCTTGGACATCGTTGTCTGCGGGTGTAAAACTTGGTGATGGGTGGCCTAGGCTTATCAATCATCATCAATTTTATGCATTTGAAGACTCTCGTCGTCGTAACTAATCTTAAATAATTGAGTCCAAGACTCTTGAATCCCACACTCCTTCATCAGTTTATCTGCCATAAAACAAATTCACTTTTCTTGGAAGCATGAAAAAAAAAACAATAACATTCCATCAAAACCTTCAGAACTGGCTGAATAAATGGCACCTCATCAAAACCTTGAGGCAGCAGCAACTGCTTGAATGTCTCCGCATAAAGATCAAGTTAAACAATCACAAATTGATCAACATGAGTGACAGACATATCAAGTGAAACAATCACAAATTGATCAACACGAGTGATAGACTTATACTTACAAATAGAATAGGAATAGTTGTGAATAGCCAACCAATTAACAGTGCCACTTAAATGCACACCATTGTTAAGACTATAACTACTACTATCCATCCAATTAAGTGTACTCAGTGGAAAACCATGAATGTTTTTCTAACAACTAGCAGCCAAACTGAAAACTTTAACCTTACTTTTAGTTATACATAACTGAATCTCTGTTCCCTTGAAAACGAACAGCTACAACCTTGTAAGTTTTCGTTGAATCATCATAACTAAATACGAACCTAAGAGATTCTAAACAATCAACATCTGTAACGAAACAACACTAATTTTTCAGATTTGTTTCCGAATGAAGGTTCCAAAAACGAGTAGTCCTGATTGATTCCAATCGATTACTGTCCCCCTGACAGATTTGGAAAAGAAACAGATCAATCAGAGCAACAAAGGGTTCATGCTTCATTTTCAAGTGAAGCTCACTACTCTGCTGCCTTGATGGAGCAACCACGTCAATCTGACATCCCACCGCAGGCCCCTTCTTGATGAACTTATAGCCGGATTTTTGTCTTGGCTGAGTGTTATAACAATCATGCAACTCAAATGCATCAGTAAGTCATGGAACAATCTCATATCCGACCCATCCTTCATCCAAAAGCATCTTACGAAGCCATCACAAAATCCACACTTCACAGTAATGAGGAAAGAAACTATCATCACATAATACGCACTTCACAGTAATGTGGAGAGAAACTATTTATGGTTACGCTCAGTGTTGTCCATGGCGGATGGCGGTCCATGGCGATGAGGCAAACTCCCGCCATACCGGACGCTTTGCAGCGCCGTTATTGTGGATTATGGCGGAAAAACCCGCAATAGCAGCCGATATTTACCATTGCGGCGAGCCAAAAACCGTCATGTAAATCCGCATAGCGGCCATGGCGGGGCAATTTGATAACACTGGTTACGCTGTCTTACCCACCCCCTTCCACCGGTTTATCAAAAACCCACCTATGACCCTCGACAGAGAGAATTCCAATTGCATGAATTTCCATTGTCATACTGTTGGTTCCTGCAACAGATTGATCTGTTGCCTTTCCAAATCTGTCGGGGGGACAGTAACCGATTGGAATCAGAACTCTGTTGGGCCATGAGGGGGTCTGAGGATCATCACATTGGCCTTTCAACACTCACTTTAAATGAGTTGGACACCATTTATTAATCCAAAACAAATGTGAGACTCATACTCACACTTGATATACCAACATCTCTCCCTTTTTCATCCATATCTACTTGCACCGCTGTTGTTTCTGCTCGATGGAACATGCTGCCTGAACAACCTTGTCAGGAAGACATCCATATCTACTTGCACCGCTGTTGTTTTTGCTCAATGGAACATGCCGCCTGAACACCCTTGTCATGAAGACTTTTGATACAAGGAGCCACAGCTCAACAAGACTCTGATACCATATTAGAATTAGAGATTGGCCTAACTCACTCTTACAAATTCGGCTTGAAAGGTGATAGATGTCATTTTGTACAAAGTTTTTTCAAACTCTATCTCTAACCAACGTGGGACTTGAGACTTTCTCAATACTATCCTAATTTTGTTGTCATATTGAGAAGATGCACACAAAGGGAATGAAAAATAACTGAGTCATATTAAAAAAGCTCTTAAATAAATTGAAACCAAACTTGTTTGCTGTACAGTTTTGCTCGGTGCACATTACAACCAGAAATATATCCTAATATATCCTAATTTTGTTGTCATATTGACAACATGCACACAAAGAAAAAGAAAAATAACTGAGCCGTACTAAAAAAGTTCTTAAATAAATTGAAACCAAATTTGTTTTCTGTACAGTTTTGCTCGGTGCACATTACAACCAGAAATATATCCTAATTATGAATATGATTGTGATATTAGGATTTTAATTCAGCCAACATTGATTAATCTTCTAATAAAAAAATATATAACTCATCATTTCCCCCTTCAAATTAGACGAGTGAACACATAAAACAAAAAAGCATGTAAATGAACCTACAAATAAAGCTCATGTTGATAAGTCATATCAGCTAGGGCTTGCTGGTCTGCAATACTGAAGTACCGCTTTATAACCATCTCTTGTTCCTCTCCTTTTTTCATCTTCTCTATCTTATCCCACCATTCTTTCTCATCAAGCACCTCCTTCTGTAACACAATAAAAACCCTAATTATCAGCCATGAAATTGATCAAACTACAATTACATGCAAAAACTGGAAGCTGTTTATTTGTTTTCAACTTCAAAATTTTATAATTAAACGTTAAATGCACCTCTGCTTGTTGTTGTCTAAGGCGTTCAGCACGCCAAACAGGGTCCCACCATCTTTGCTCGCCACGTCCACCACCACGGCGCCCACCGCCGCCACCTCCACGTTGGCCTCCGCCGCGACCGGAGGATGAGGCGCCGCCTCTGCGGCCTCCGCCTTGGTAGTTAGGGCGGTAGGACATGACGGAAGTGGAGATTAGAGTGTTGGAGAGGAAATGCTTGGGTGTGTGCTGGTGTATGGAGAAGAAGTGATGGGAATGAAAAGTATGGCGAAAAAGGAAGTGAACCATTTATAGCAAAGAGACTTATGGTTGAAACTTAAAAGTGGATACACTTCGATAGTGTGGTTTGCAACGTGTTGAGCATAGAATAGTGTGGACTGCTCAAATTAGTGGGATTGATCAATAGATGTTTGAAAATAAACCATACATAAATTAAGAAAATAATAAAATATAAGTATTTCTGATTTTTTTATTATTTATAAAAATATTTAAATTAATATTATATTTTATTCGCTATTTAAATATAATATTGTATAAAAATATTAAATCAACTATAAATTGTTTTCTCATATTTTGACATCAATTATAAAAAAATTTAAGTTAGTAGTACAAAAATCTAATAACTACCTATATGTATGCATAAATTCAAAAATAACATAAGTATAAATTTTAGAATTAATATCACTTTTTCTTTCTACCATATAAATAATTTAGTAGAATTTTGGGAATTTTAAAATAAACTATGAAAAATAAAAACTAAATTGTCTATTTATTAAAAGAATCCTTGTCCAAAAAAATTAAAAAATATTTTTAATATGATTGAACTGAAGAAAAAAAAATGTTTGTCAGTGTTTTATTTGTCACACTATTTCATATTAGCATAAAAACTTCTAGCCAGTAATGCTCTATCAACTACTTAAATAGGATTGGGAGAAAATATTCTTGAAAAATATATGTGAGACAAATGGAAATGGGGTAATTGGAGCGCTTGGAGTAAAATATCACAATATTTTATTCTACAACATCTAGGAAAAAAAGCCAATGAAAAAAGTAACTAAGCTTGTAGATATCTAAAGAATCAATCATTCAATGCTAAATGAAGTTATTCTTTCTTAGTTATTTAGATCGTTTTGGTTGACGCCATTTTGCAAAAGTTTTCGACAATGAACTAAGGAAAGATTCTTTCGAAGGAAACCTTATCCTTCCATATAAATGGTTTCCTCCCAAATATGTGAATACTGGAGGCATATCCTTGTTTATTGAAGTTCTATCTATCTGAAAAAATACAATGAACAAAAATTTATGATTTACTAAAAGGATTCAAAAAGTTATGAAAATATCATATGCGTTTATAAGCTATTTTCAAGTTATTTTCTTATTGCAGTTATAGTTTATTATCGTTCTCTTTGATTCTAGAAATAACTTATACATAGGTTTTTATAAGATGAATACTTATAGATATGCGTTTAATTAAGCATAAACAACATACCTTGTAGATTCTCATGCCTTTCAAATAGTATCTAAGTATTCATACTCTACTTATTTCATAATCAAAACATTCAATACATTATATATATATATATATATATATATATATATATATATATATATATATATATATATATATATATATATATATATATATATATATATATATATATATATATATATATATATATATATATATATATATATATATATATATATCTTAATGTATATGATCATCACTATCATCTACCAAGTATTCTTGTCTGGTTCATGGTTTCTCATTACCATACAATAGCTCATTGGATCATCTTCTCAATGCTTCAAGTCTCATATCAATCGGATTCTCAATTCTCAATCCTTTTAATATTAAACAGATCTCTTGGGATCATCACTTGGTAAGTCTCGTCTAATTCCTCCTTATCAAAATTGGTTCTGAAAATCCTTCTAATAATTCATACTCTAACACCATAAGTAGAGTATGATATATACATTAAGTGATATATATGATATATGCATAAGGCTGAAGTATGGTGTTAGAGTATGAATTATTAGAAGGATTTTCAAAACCAATTTTGATAAGGAGGAATTAGACGGGACTTACCAAGTGGTGATCCCAAGAGATTTGTTCAGTATATGGTAAGTAATAGTAAGGTATAAGCGGTTAGTCAAAATATGGCATTTGTTAATTCTCGCAGATTCATGACCTCGGATATAGACTTCATGAGAGTGGTATCAGATATGTGTAGTTATACTTTACCCACGTTCTCACCACATTTCATCATAATTCATTCATATATATCACAATGTACATATTCACAATTCACATCATTGCACATAAACATACAAATTCATGTTTCTTCACCACAATTCATCACAAAGTACACACACATACACACACACACACACACACACACACATATATATATATACATACATACATATATATATATATATATATATATATATATATATATATATATATATATATATATATATATATATATATATATATATATATATATATATATATATATATATATATATATATATATATATATATATATATATATATATATATATATATATATATATATATATATATATATATATATATATATATATATATATATATATATATATATATATATATATATATATATATATATATATATAACACCAAGCATATTTATCATGCATATAACCACAACTCTCATCATTCCACATAAACATAGACATTCATGTTTATTCACTATAATTCACATAAACATCTACAATTATGTTTATTTCACCAATTCACAATCATACTCATTTCATATAAACATTTATATTTATGTTTATTCACCAATGCATCATATAAAGATGATATATGCAAATCATAGAGGCCAACTCGCTACTCTATGCAAATGCAAATACGGTACTGACTCAATCATCTCAAGTTCATTCAGGAACTTATTAGAACCATCGCTCACACCCCCACAAGGGCATACGATATTCACCCATTGCTCACACCCCAACTAGGCACACAATCTGATTGCTCACACCCCCACACGGGCACACAATCATTTGCATCCATCGCTCACACCTCTCATAGGCAAACAGTATTCATGGATTGCTTACACCTCAACTGAGCATACAATCCAATTGCAACCATCGCTCACACCTCTCATAGGCACACGGCGTTTACTCATTGCTCACACCCCAATTGGGCACACAATGTTCTACACATTCTCTTAGGAATCAAATATTATTCAGCAGATTCTCCTAGGAATCAAATATTATTCAGCAGATTCTCCTAGGAATCAAATACCATTCAGCAGATTCTCCTAGAAATCAAATATCATTCAGCAGATTCTCCTAGGAATCAAATATCATTCAGCAGATTCTCCTAGGAATCAAACAGCACAAGAATGCACATCATAATGCTTCACATGCAAAATGACTCAAGACACTCTTGAAATTCATACATATTCATAAATGTATTCATGCATTCATCTCATATTCTCACATACAATCCATGTATATTCACATTAATCATGCCAAATGACAACGAGCATCGTTTTACCACCAATACGGCTACGAACACTTATCACAATAATCATGCATTTTCATTTAATTCAAACAATGCATATATTTGTCAAACAACCACATTTTGCAATCTGGGATTCACGCCATACGGCTACCCACGACATACCATATAACAACACACAAGCGACACATCGAACAATCAAAGATTCAAAGTTGGATGGAAACCACAAATAAACTGTTGTTTTGTCACGCTCGATGCACCATTCGCCTAGCGAAGGTCATCGCGAACACTCGTTATCTGCTCGCCTAGCGAACACGCTAGCAAGGGCTGATTCCTAGCTACTGGAAGTGTTCGCTTCCCAGCTCGCTTATCGAAGGCTTAGAGAACCCTCGCTACCTCACTCGCCTCCAGCAAGATTGGATCATTTGGTTCTGCCCAAGTCTGGGAACATTTGCTATTGGCTCGCTAGCAGCTCGCTTAGCGAACCACTCACTAGCTGCTCGCCTAGCGAGTCCTGTGATTTCTCAAAACCCTCTATTATCCAAAATATCCAAAACTTCACAAAATCTCCCGATTCAATTCCTACAAGTTTCCATAGTCTTAGCCTAACATTCCTCGACTAAACTACACCATTTATTCTAGATTCTAACCGTTAAAATATCGGTTTCTATCGATTAAACCATTTCTGACCTAGAATGGAAAATGTAGAAAACACCCAAACTATCAAAACAACACATACATAATCATACACATTGAGAAGATAATAAGATTTCACACCCTTACCCGATTAATCGAATCCTAGAGGTTGCTCTTGATGATTCTCCAAGTTTTCCTCTTTTTCCTTCTCTTTCTCTTCTTCCTCTTTCTTTTTCTTCTTTCTATTTTCTTTCTTTTTCTCTTCTCTTATATCTTTATATCTCTTTCTATTCTAATTCTTTCCATCATTTTTCTCTCAAAACATCCACTTATTCATTTTCTCACAAAATATCCAATCTTATCATTAAATGAGAAATATCTAAAATACCCTTCAATATATTTTCCCCCGAAAACTCTCAAAATCGGCAATACAGCATAATATGCAAACTATAACATATTAATACATCAATTCCACAAATGAAATAATAATCACCCAATTAAATCAAAAAGACTCAACAAAATGGGAAATCAGAATCGGGGCGTTACATAACACCCCAAGTTCTTGGAATATTTATTTAATTTATTTAAATATGAATATTCGTATTTTTGATGATTTCAGTGGTTGGTGTGAATATTGAGAATTATGGAGTTTTGAGTTATTTATTTAAATAATAGTATATAATATGAATATATTTGGTATTATTATTAATTTAAATAAATATAAGTTAATTTAAGGGCAAAGTGGACATTTGAGGAGGGGTTAGTGAGGGTGAAATTGGAAAGCCCATTTTAAAGACCCAAAGTTAGGTTTAACGAAAAGGAATTTTTAGGGAATTAGAATTCATTCTTGTTAAACCGTGAAAAGGGAAGAAATAGAGGCCAGAGTTCTGAGAAAGAGGATTGAGGCAAAACTTCGCAAGGTTTCCAAGAACTAAGGAGAAAGGCTTAGAGTCGACAATTAAGGTATGAGGAGTATTACCTTCATTGTTTTCACTATGTGATTCAATGTATTTAAAGTCGATTTAAGAATTTAGGAGGTTTTTGAGTTTGAGGAAATTAGGCATTTGTGGCCAAATCTGTTTTTGAGGTTGTTTAAGTATGAGAAGTATTGCCTTCATTGTTTTTAATATATGATTCA